GGTTGTTACCAACATCTGGTGAAAATTTCATGTCATTAGCACCTCTAGTAATATATTTACTGAGAAAAATGGTGACGTGTTCAATACTTATTTTACCCACTGTACAGTATATTATAACTGCATTTTATCCAATAGCAACAAAATGTCTTAATGTCAGATTCTGATTGTCTACTGTCTCTAAAACAAACATATATTTTTCTATTCTTGCACAATTCTTTATATTATATTTTTTATTATTAGTATTTGTATCATGGCTAGTCAGTGTTAATTTTTGTTTTGTGTGCACTATCTATAGTTTGTAAAGTAACTGTGTGCACCTCTGTACTGATGCTGCTGTGACACCTGAATTTCCCCTCTGCGGGGCAATAAATAGGCTATTCTATTCTATTCTATTCTATTCTATTCTATTCTATTCTATTCTATTCTAAAACGTTTCTTCATGTAAGTTGCTTAAACTTCTTCAGTCTGTGATAAATTTCCAAACTCCAATGTGAAAAGAAAAAAAAAACTCAGCCATCATTGCTTTGTTGTTTATGTTGCTGTCGGCACAATGAATACTGGGATACTGTCGGCTGCATAGAATACTCAAAGCAAGCCTACGTTTTCAGGCTTTTGTCAGTAGGCGCCTATGAATTGGGACAGCCTTCGGCGCGGGGCAGTGACGTACGCAGCTGACAAATGCAGCCGACGTTGTTTACATGAATTGAGACACAGCTGACAAATCCTCCATTACTGTACATGACCTTCTACCTTCACCACTAACAAAAGTGTTTGTTTTTATTGCCTCTGCCTCTGAAAGAGTTAGATTCTGTTAAAACCTTTTTTTTTCAAACCCTGTTCGTCATACTGAGATATGTACAGAACCATGAGCTGGCTGTACCGTTACACTCCTAATGATTTTGGAGAAACAAAGCTAACAGTTCAAAAAGAATAAAAGTTACAAAAATATTATTCAAAAACATGTCAAAAGAGGAAAACAATAGTACAAATTCTGCCTTTCAAAGCACCTTTTCTGCAGAGGCAGGAATTCCCCCCTCACAGCCTGCGGATGGCAGCAGGCCTGCCGCAGCCTCAGCAGCGGGTAGAGGATTGTGTTGACGGTGCGGCGGTCCAGGCTGCCAAGTTTCAGGCTCCAGTCTGAGATTTTCCTAAGTTTGACCAAAGCATCCTGAGAGCAGACCTCATGCTGGCGATGATAGAAGTGGCCCTCAACAGGAGAAAAACGCAGCCAGTGCACCTCTTCTGTCTGAGGGGGAATCTGAATCTGAAGAGGAAAACAGGAAAGCACAAAATTCTCTGTGAAAATCTTTAATAAATGTATGTTTTTTTTTTATATTTAGGGCTGGCCACAAAGAGATGCAGGACTTTTACAATCCTACCTGGTCAATGACATCCTTCTTAGCTGACCTCCATAATATCTGAGCAATCACATTGTAGAGAGGTTCTGTGTTACCACAGCGATAAGGGCGGTAAAGCAGCTGGTCCCACCAATGTTTGACCCAATATGGATCCACTCCAAGGAAAAGTACAAGGCCATATAAATCTACAAAAAAAAAAAACATTTTAGAAGGAAACCTATTGGTCTGCTTTTCTACCATTTTCAGAAAATAATGATTTGATACAAGTGAAAATGTTTTTATGTAAATAAAGAGTACCTTCTAAGCCTCTTTGAACAGGTGTACCACTGACACACCAACGGTTGACTGATGCCAGACGCAGTGCCATTTCTGCAGCCTGATGACAAAAATAGAAAGAAATCCATTTCACCCGCTTTCATGCATTAAAATAAGATCATCTACAGTTGAGAAGGCGTACAGTTGAAGCTAGTTTGGTCAAACCTGGAAAAGAACATTATAATATCATCTGATCAGTGTTGTTTTTGACTGCCATTTTAATTTTAGTCTTAGTCTTTTGGACAAAAATACTTAATGATTTAGTCAGTTTTAGTTATTTCTATATTTAATGGTTTTAGTCCAGTTTTAGTCGACAAAAACTTTAAAAAAATGTTTAGTTTTAGTCTTAAAAAAGACAAAATATTAGTTTTTACAAATTAATTTGAGTAATTTGCGTTAACATTTGTGAATTTGTGTTACTCTTAAAACGCCCAAACCAAAAACTTTCTCACTTTATTTCTCAGAATTTGCTAAAGTGCAATGAACATACAAAATACACATGCCCAATATTATAAGCAATAAAGGGGAACACACATGTTCAACTCAAACTTGTCAGCCAGGACCATGAAGATGCATCTTATTTATAAAAACAGACCTCATGCAGTCCTAAACTTAGTTAGTAAACTAACTTGTGCAAACGAGTGTTTACATGCACCAGGCATTTATTAGCCTCCACTTAAAAGCCTCCAAATGCTTTTCCCTTCAGTAAATTGTTGTGTTTATAAAGAGTTCATCTGGTCCCAAATGAGGCAGTGGTCATGTCCCCCTAGTGGTCTGGCTTAGTTACTGTTTGCAATCGATCTTTTCGGTGTTCCATGTATAATGTCTGTTATTTTGACAGGTAAAAGAATTGTACTTGTAAATTTGATTTGTACTTGTAAATTTGATTCGTACTTGTAATGTGGCAAAGTTGTAACAAATTTATGTACGTTTATAGAGTTACATGTACAAATTTAGACTCTTACACATACAATGATTCTGACAGTTTCTCTTACCTGATACTAAAACACCAAATTTTAGCTAAACATCTGTAAAATTCACTGAGTAGAGCAATATTTGTGTTCAAAGGTCCATTAGCTTTGGGAGCCAATTAGATTAGCATCAACTCCAAATGTTTATGAGATTTAGATGTACAGCCAGTATTTACTTACTGAGAGTTTCATAAAAATCCATTCAGTAATTATGATATTTTGCTAACGGTAACATGTACAGAGACACACAACATGCATACCTGTTTGTATTTTTATCCTTGTTAGGACATTTTACTGATGTCCGTATAGCTAACTCTGACCCTTACCCTAAATGATTAACATCCCATAACTAATAATAACTCCTCAATTCACACCTTAGTCCTAACCCTAACTCAAAAACGATGTTACACCTTTATAGGACCAAGTGTTGGTCTCCTTAAAGATTACGGGTCCTGACCAAGTATCTGATTATTCCAGAAAATATCCTTAAAATGTAACAAAACCCAAGTACACACACAAGAAAACACAAAATACGAGCAAAAAGCATATTACTCTTTGCCGGAAGACATTAAAAACAGTATATACTGTACATATGTATATACATACTGTATGAACAAACAAAACCGAAAACATTCCAAAAGCATTATGGGAACTGAGTTCTCCCTGACTCACCTTGGCAGTGGGGCACTCAACCATCTGTGCCTCATCCAGACAGATGCGCCACCACTCTACAGCCACTAAAGGGCTGGGTACAGCCATGTAGCGTTTCTGGTTCCGAAAGCGTCTGCCATCTTTGCTGTTGCTGTGGGGAATGTCAACGTAGTTGAGCTCCGAGCGAAGCACGTCGTAGGTGGTGATCACCACATCCTGCTCAGCAAGCATCCGAGGCTGGATGAAGCCATGTTTCTTCACACCCTGATAAACCTGAAATAAGTGAGTCTTCATTAAGACAGCAGCTTTAAATATTATTAAAACTGCAAGCAGTGAAAAAGGGCCCTTTCACCCCATGACGATTCAGAAAGTGTGTACATCTAGCTAAAGCCGGTCTATTTATCAAGTTTCTTTAAGCACAGCCAAATAGAACAATATGAAAAGGCCAGTTATGCACCAGTAGGGACACATCCAACTTGCCAAGATGCCCAGATAGCTGCTAGCGATTAATATTTTCTTAGTTTTTAAGTCTAAACTTTACAAAGCAATTTTGAAGATGGATGAAATGTGGGAAATTTTTTCAAACACAACAATGCATTTTTATACTGTCACTAGGCGGCACAGTGGCCTATTCAAAACGTGGCCATGTTCAGGACTGGAGGCTAATCACATAAATTTTGCAACGTTTGGGCAATTTACATTGACATTACACCCAACGTGTTTAAAAAGAAATGAGCGTTAAAAAACACGCCCACACTCTTCACATTGACCAACAACTTTTTAATAACGTTTGTATATTATCTTGTCAAGAAATATTGATCTAAATTTGAAGTTGATACGCACAAATTTGCAAATGACATTTGGCGAGACATATGAGAATCACCAAAATTTATGTTTTATAAATGGCCGACTTCCTGTAGGTTTTAAAGCTTTTGCCAAGAGACTTTTTTGAAGAACCTGAACCAGTGTACCTATGTACCAATTTTAATATGTGTATGTTAAAGTAATAAGACAGGCTGATGTTTAGATGGCGCTACAGAGAGCCAATTTGCCACGACCACAAGTATAGTGAGTATGAGTATAGAAAACCAAGCAAGTGTGGGTACGGGTTTTTCCTACAAGGTGGGGAAATTTTTACCAAAAAAAGCAGCCTCGTGGGGACTGAAGTGCATCGTGGGGACCAATTCCCACGGGTCCAAATGCAAATTACAGGTGTGGAGTTAGGTTTAGGACCAAGGTTTAGGTTAGTTTTAGAGTCAGGTAGGTACCTGAGAGGTTAGTTTTAGGGTAAATGGTCAGGGTTAGGATATAAAGTCTAAAAAAATGAATGGAAGTCAATGCACGGTCCCCACGGGGTTGAAGAACAAACGTGTGTGTGTGTGTGTGTGTGTGTACTTGTTTTGGCTACAGAGTGAGAACCATGTTAGGTTTTTAATATTCCTGGGTGCCACACCCTCCCCTGCTTATAAAAAAATAATATATTTTTTTCCTTTTGTATGCCTTTCACTCAATTTTTATTCTAAACCGTGCCCCTTGAGGTTAAATGGTTGTTATATATGACTTTTGGCACCACTTGTGGGAAATAACTTATGATTACCTTTAATAGACAGTTTTGAATAATAAGCAATACCAAAGTTTCTGTAGGATTAACCACCTTTCTTCTCAAGATTACTAAACAAGTTCCCCTTACAGTGGATCATGACTTACAAAAATGACTCAGTCTACAACTGAAAATATGGATGGAGGACCTCAGTTTAGCTTGTTTGTCGTGCTAGCACAAAGGCTAATAGGCTAAGCTGAGGTTCTTCTTCCATGAAGCAGCTCTGTTGTCCTCCATCCATATTTTCAGTT